TTTGGCACCCTCCCCTCTTGCTCTTCGCCTCCTCGCTTCTTTTGATTTGCGACATTAAAAATCATGAAATTTAGAAGCTTTGTAGGCGACATTTCTATAACATTTAATAACGGCAATCATAAAACATGTTTTTTAACGCAATTGCGAACGCACTGCGGCCCTTCTTTTTGAAATACCAAAAATCGGAGTCCGGTGTGATGTCGCCTTCTGGAATTAAAACATGCCGCCTGGGCAGGCGGCACCGCTCGCACGGAACAAAACCGGTTTTTCTCGGTCCACCGGAGCCCCTATCTCCCGCTCCTTTCCTCCTTACGCCATCAGGTTGCAGGGGCAACAGCACGGAGTCGAGAAAGAAAGTCGACTCTCAGGACTCTGCAATATTTGAAGTCAATGCACCGGCGCGGATTGCGCGGGAACTTTGAATTCGGCATTTGGAAATTGTTTTTTTTGCCTCACAAATACTGAATTCCCAAGTTTCGAATTTTGAGGGTAATGTCCCGGCATCGTTTTCAGTTGATTCGGATAATAAAAAAAAAAAAATGATTTTGATGTGTCAGTGCCCCTTTAAATATGCACAATGGCCCAATTTTTTAATAATATCAAGCGAGCGTCGACTGCCACGACAGCCAGTGCCGTGCCGCGGAGGCATGCGGCGATACGGGAGTTTAAGCGCGTGCACACAAAGACCTTTCTGGTGGGAGCGTCGTCTGCTAGGCTATTCCGTTGATTGCACACAGCCCCTGCTTCGCAGCAAATGAGGGCAGGGCACTTGCAATGTCGAAGTGCAACGCCCCTCCTCTTGGAATGCCTTCACAATCCTTTTGACATTAGCCTGTGTAACCCCGACTGTTGTTGCTATATCCCTTTGCGTCATGCCGCCCATCGACATTCTCACATCACGTTCCCGTATTTCTAGGGCACTCGAGGAGGCAAAAAATGTGCACGTGCCTGCTGGTCAAAGAAAAGTGTGGCTACCTGGCTGCATAAACTAGATCACGACAGTAACAATGCAGTTGATAATACAAAACACCAAGCGGAAACCCTGATAGTTTGTTTCATTTTGTGTTGTATTGCAGCCGCCGCTACGAGCCATCTTGGCCAGTCCATTGCTAAAAGTGTGTCATGTGGCCTTCCAGTTGGGCACAACTGCACTTGGAAGCACGATGTAACAAAGCAAAGTGAAAGCACTGGATTGGTTTTGATGGTTCGTTGCATTGTTTGCGGTATATAGTGTAATGCATCGTTGCATCCAGTTTGTTGCGTCACCGTATTTTTCATTTTTAAAGCACAGCTCTTCGGTGCCCGTTTCTGGCTTAAGCGGCGTCGCCATCGGCGTAACCACGCGGTGCATTATGGGTAAATTTCCCCACTAAATCTAGCAGAAAAATTTCCCCGCTAAATCTAGCGGAAAGGTTTCCCCGCTAAATCTAGCGGGAAAATTTCCCCACTAAGTCTAGCGGAAAGGTTTCCCCGCTAAATCTAGCGGAAAAATTTCCCTGCTAGATTTAGCGGAAAGATTTCCCCGCTAAATCTAGTGGAAAAATTTCACCGCTAAACCTAGCGAAAAAATTTCTCTGGGGGGTCACATGACCCCCCCCCCTTCCCCCTGAGGTCACGTGACCCCCACACGTGGACCCCCATCTCCTGAGGTCACGTCCCCCCCCCCCCCCCCCCCCCCCCGAGAACATGTGACCCTCAGTACCCTCCTCCTCCTCCTCCTCCTCCTCAAGAACTGCGCTGTAATTCGGCATTACAGGGAGTTGTAAACGGCTTTCACTTTTTGTTGGTGTTCACAAAAGTAAACAACGCAAACATGAAATGAAAAGAAAAAGTAAATTCAACTCGAGATGATGTGTGGTTTATGCCACGCCTGAGCAGTATCACACAAGCACGCTCTGTTCAGATCTTTGCTTAAAGGCGGTTGGCTATGCCAGCACATAATGAACAGGGGCTGTGTGCGGTCAACGGAATAGCCTAGCAGACGACGCTCGCAACGGAAAGAGCTTTGTACACACGTGCCTAATCTCTCCCGTGACGCTGCATTTCTCCACGGCACAGCGCTGGCCGTCCCGGCGGTCGATGCTCGCGTGATATTATTAAAAAATTGGGCCACTGTACAGCATTGTAGAGGTTATTTATTTTGTGTCAAACATGTGTAAACATGGCTCCTTTCATCTTTAATCACTAGATTTCTCAGCCGGTACCTAAAAAGTTAGCTACAACATTTAAACTTATTTATGTCAAATATTCTTATTAGAACATTCTTTTGAATTATATATAAATCATTGCTTTATCTCAAAAATTTAATTTTTTCTGTCACTCCAAACTTGCCTTAAAGTACAAAGTTAAGAAACTTCAAGGGGCAGTTAAAAAAAAAAAAGCCCATCTTCGATTTTTCTTAAATTTAGGGCGTAGTTCATTATACTTTTGTGTTTATTCATAAAAAAAACATGTTGCATCATTTTGTTTCCTTTTTTTTCCGACCCTGTTGATTTTTCTCTCAGTGTATCGTCAGTGATGATTGTTTACTGCCCACCCCTACAAAATCTCCAATCGGAGATGTAGTATCAATAAATAAATAAATAAATAAATAAATAAATAAATGCATTCTTTTGGCGTGGCGAAAGCAAAGCAATGTTTTCGCCCATACTGAAAGTGACGATATTTCAAGATGGCAGCGCCCTGTGAAAAAGGTCTATAGGTAATGTGACATCAATTTTCCTGCTAAATTTAGTGGAGAAAATTTATTGATGTGTCACACGTTGTCAGGTCATGTGGCGCCAATTTCCACGCTAGATTTAGCAGGGAAACTAAAACGGTGCACCTATACACTTTTTCAACAAGGGCGCAGCCATCTTGAATGTTGTCACTTCTGGTATGCAATAAAACATCGTTTTGATCTCTCCAAGCCGCTGAAAGGCGTTCACGAAAAATGTGTGATTGTCACACATTCTTGTTTTGCCTCACCTTATTTTTTTGCATATTCCAGATTGCGATGTTTTTTTTTTGTCCTGGACATCAGATATGGAAGCCACATAAGTGATAACAAAAGGATACGAAAAACGTCTATAGGTCACGCGACACTGATTTTCCAGCCAAATTTAGAGGGGAAGCTAAATTGGTGTATAAGACACGTGACATCAGGTCACATGACGTTAATTTTTTTTGTACTAAATGTAGGGGGGAAACTAACTAGCTGTTAAGTCTTGTGACGTCGGGTCGTGTAACATCCAATTTCCCGCTAAATTTAGCAGGGGATGTGAATTGCTGCCTAGGTCATGTGATGTGAAGTAACCTTACGTCAATTTTCTTGCTAGGGGGAAAATTAATTGGTGCATAGGTCACATGACGTCAGGTCGCGCGACATCAATTGACATCACGTTAACTAAACACCAATTAAATCTAGCGGGAAATGCATGGATGGACAAAATATTGGTATTGGGAGCTTTTGCGAAAAGACTGAGGTCTTTTTAAAGTAAGGCTTTTGCTCAACTTTAAAATTGTAGTTTTGGCATTGCAGGCCCTTGAGAGCCTAAACCGCTAAATACTACAAAGCCGAATTGTTTTCTTTGGCCTAACAACTACCTCGTCCTATTTTAATGACAGGCTATAAATTAAGACATGCCAGCTAAGATGACTATTTTAAAAAGTAATTGAATTTTACTTCATTAATTAACCTTTTCTACATATAAACGGCACGTAGCAAAGGGTTCACTAACCGACTTTTAGAGGCAGTCATGTGACCAGCTCCAATGGGAGAAATGATACCTAGAGGGACTAGGGTGCCTTCATGTGCACTCTGCTTAGGGTGGAGACATCTGGCCATTTTGTCCCACACATTTATTTTTATTTTTTGTTCAGAAGTGCATGAAAGAGTGTGTCCCTGCACGTGTTTGTGGCGCTGACTGTGCTATGGCAACATTTTGTTTTGGTCAATTTCTTTGTATTTTACCCGTGAGCGCGTGCTGTCGGCATCGGGTACTGCAAAGGGTGGCATCACCCTAAACAGAAGGACATTGATGCACCCTAAGAGGGACTGTTGTCCCTGAGCACTTTTCTGAGAAGACCTACTATATGTGTGTGCGCTGTTCTGCAGGCTCTACGAGTTCGCCCTGCTTTTCTCCTTACAGAAGTGGTCACATGACCTGAAAATCCCTCGTCTCCCCGTTACTGAAATTCAGCAAATTTCTTTGCACGAGACGTGCAAAAAGCGTAGGCCTCTGTTGCTTGCCATTCGGTTACCTCTAAAATGTATAATGTCGCTCGTGAGGTATGAAGTCCCTCTCGACGCCACAGTCATAGCACAAAAAAGTCAAATTTGGGGGTTTTACGTGCCAAACCAACGACGGGCATCTGGCACGCCCCAGCGGAGGTCTGAGGATTAATTTGGACCACCTGGGGATCTTTTGACGTGCAACCGAAAGCTCGGTTACACGGCGCCTCCTCCGCAATAAGCCTTCGTCAGATTGCAGGCACCTCGGCCGGGATTCGAACCCGCCACATGGGGATCCGTAGGCCAGCGCTTTCGCCTCGGAGCCACCGAGGCGGCTGCACAGTCATAGCACAAAAAATCCCAATGATTCCCATAGAAATAGCCAAGATGTTTGCTAGCATTGCTTACAAGTTGCCCATGGTGAGTTTGCATACACCTCTTCTCGGTAAAGGTTCACTGTCTAATTATCCCGCCACTCCCGTGCCCCGTCTGCTGTGGCCAATAACATTATCCCCAAAAATTTATTTAATATTTAGAGTGCTCTCTATTCTAAGAATATTTTCATCCTCAAAACAAACATACCACATACCACATACACTAACATCAGCCATATGAAACAATCTGCATTTTGATGATGTGTATTGCAATATGCAAGGATAGGAGAGCACAGAATTCCAAGCCCATCCCACTTTCCTAACGCACACAAAGAATGCACATTTTCTCGAATATTCTTCAAAGGCATAGCGAAAGCAAGAGTGAGAGAAGGATGAAGGGCCCCCCCCCTCACCTGGTGCGATGTCTCGGATGGCAAAGATGCCGACACGGGTGTCCCCGTTGACAGTCCACTTCTGGGTCTCGCAGTTTGGATCGCAGGAGTGGTTCATGAAGCGCGACAGGTTTCCCCGTGGTCCCGCGTCAATGATGCGGTCCCTGTCCAGGGTGAGGAAGTAGAAGTTGCTGCTGTGCTCCAGATGAAGCCGAGACAGGCGGCGCTCGCACTCCTGCTCGTTGATGATCTCCCCGACGTACTCCATGACGAAGTCGCCCGCAGTCAGGGCCTGGTCGGTGCGCAGGCCCCAGCCCCTTCCCTCGGCCCGTATCACCGTCACCTGGGCGTACTCGCGCCGCAAAAAGTGCTGGTTTTTGCAGTGTTCGCCGGCGGGGCACAGGTCCGGGCGGCACTCGTACAGCAGCAGGCGGTTGAGGCAGTCTGCCTGGCATGGATCCTGGGCGGTGCAGACACAAACCGACACCGTGCGCAGGTCCAGTGCCGGCACCGCCACCTGCCCCACGGGCCGGTTGACCCGGATCATGCGGAAGGGCGCCGGCTTGGCTGACTGGTCCCTGGCCCGGCGCTGCTGCTCCCACGCCGCCGTCGCCTCCTCCAGGGCCGTCTCAAATAACCGCGACAGGCTCTTGCTGCTCGACGTCAGACTACCGCGATCGCCCTCCTCAAAGAGGAACACGTGCCCACGGTTGGTCCAGTAGTAGTCGTGCGAGCCGTAGAAGCGCACCGCAAACTCCCCGACCGGTCGGTGCTTGAGCTCGGCGATATTGACCGGCACCTCTGCAGGGCTACACACCTGGGCGGGCCACCAGCGGTAGCAGCCCAGCTTGACCCAAATGATGTGGCCATACTTAGGGTGCTTGAGCGCGCTGCAGTCACTGCACAAGAAGGGCCCTTTGGGGGCTGCTTTGAGGCCCAGGCAGCTCTGGTGGAAGGCAGCCGGACAGCCCTCGCAGCAGAGGAGGTGGCCCCCCCGTCGAGCAGACGAAGCACCAGTTGACATTGATGCTGGGCCCAAGCTCGGCACCATGCTGTGGGCACACCACGGCCGTGGGCCCCAGGCGGTACGAGCCTGCCGCCAGGCAGCCCACGTGGAAGGCCGAAGGGCACCGCACGCAGCGCAGCAGGCGTCCTGACAACAGAGTGCTGTTTTGCATTCCCAGCCCCACTTTGTCCAGCAACAGATGTCGACTTGGTATTTCCTGCCCCCAACCTTCATGAGCTTGGTAATCCTCATTTCCTTGGGCTCCACGGAAGGATGGTAGCCAAGTAAAATCTGCTAGATTTATAGGGTTCAGGAGATCACTCCAGACCCTCTCCAAGAAACCCTGAACTACCTGAGGGTGTCACGGATGTGTTGTGCTGCTTAGTGATCCCGCAAGATATCTGCACGGCTTTCACAAAACGCTGCTCTTAACTTTACCATTTTTCCACAATTCTGAACAAGCATAAGAGATATAAGCAACCCATCAAACTCAAAGGCATATTTCTCTCAACAAATTGATTGGATGCAACTATTCCTTCACATGTGCTGGGAAAAGAGTGTAGCCCTCGCAAAATTATTTTATTAACCCCTCAACCGTTTTTAGTTTTGGAGAATTTCTGACCCTCAACTGCTTAATTGTTTTCTTAAAAAATTACATTTGTTGCCTTCTAAATAAAATTTCGAATCACAAAAAGAACGGGAGCAAAATTTAAAAAAAAAATTCAGTGCTGCCAGTTGTTGGTAGAGCCAAAAACTAAGCCATGAACGAACCGGGTTCGACCAAAACGATTGAGCGCATGAACCGGGGAAAAGAGACAAGCTACACTCGTCCTGAACGGTTTGGGGACAGCTCCACACTGACGAGCTAGGCTCATCCAAAACGGTTAAGGGGTTAATGCTTGTACCAACCATTTGGCCCCGACTTAAAGGGCCCATGAAACGAAGAAGAAAATAGATGGTGTAATGGAGAATTTGGCCCGTGAAACAAATGTTTGTCTCGGATAAATGAATTTACATTGGCATTTTACTAATAGCATATTGTTTAGTGGGCCAAAAGAAAGAAAGTAGAATGTCAAAAAGCCTGATTTTCGGTACGAAAATTTGAAAACACGGCAAACTTTTTCGTACCTCCTTCCCTTCTTAAGCTCTCTGCCTTTTCACTGTGATACATCCGCGATACCCAAAGCATGTCACCGAGTCCAAACGCACGTCACACGACACCGGACCTTACTTCTTCCCTTCACCCCTAAGCTGACAGTAAGGTGGAAGCTATGCACTTGCTGGACCAATCAGCCGCCTCCCTTTTATTACCTGACCTCATTCTCTGCGCGGGGGGTATGCGTGAGGGAGCATGATCACATGGCAAAAGTGTGGCTGACCCAACGAGCATGTAGCCTCTACAGCACTGTCAGCTTAGGGGTGAACGGGGTGGGGAAAGCAACCTTTGTTCCAGTTTTGAGCGACGGGCTAATCTTCTAGGAGGAGAATGGTGGTGTCCGGGTACACAAACGAGGGTCTGAGCAAGAGGGGGCTCCCTCCTTCCCGTCTTCTTCAACTGTTTGGTACAGTGCGCAATTTGTGGGTTGAGGAGGAAAGCTAAGAAGGAAAAAGTTTAAAAATCGTTTCATGAGCCCTGTAAGTTCTAAGCAATATCTTCCATCAGCTAACCTCCAGGTGCATTAGCTGGTTCCTATTTGTCAATGTGTTGTCCACACATACTTCATGCAATATATTTCCACTCTGCTCTCGTAGCAGGACAAATCAACACTGGGACTCATCAGCAGCTGCTTTATGACAACAAATGAGTACTCAGTGTTCCAGAGCATGTGCATATACAAGGTATCTAGCAAATTATTATTTTGAAATTCCGACTTTTCCAGGTTTCCCCTGACAATTTCAGGTGAAACTGTAGAGGCAGTTAAATACATAAGACCACTACCACACAAGGCATTAAGCATTGAGCACCGTGAGCATAATTTTGCTAGGGCCATAATCCAACTTACATATACTGAAATATTCGGGTTCGTGCAGTCCGGATTAAACAAGCACTTTCTTGCCGCCGACATCTTCAATGAAGAGGCCACTTCCAGAAACACAATGAAAACACAACGCTCAACCACACACGTCAAGAACCAAATGGCAGAATGGCGCATGGCCACCAGGTGCACACTTTCGGATACTTTCGGCTTAATGCTTGGATTGGGTTGGGGTCTGCGGCTTTCCCATTTGCTACTAAATCTAGAAGCTCTAACTGGATCAAGCTAGAGCCACTAAATGAGCTGCGCTTAGAGTATCGATACTCCGTTCCCCGACATTGTTGTGGGCACTGCCATTTTGGTGCTTGTCCAGAGCAGACGCAACTGCCGATCATCATGATTAAAAAATGCGACTTCCTCAGCATCAAATTTGGAGTTAGGAAGGTCAATATTGCTTTGCTCTGTCGCGAACTGTTTAAACATTTGTGGAGGGTGGAAAAGCATTTCCTCTGATTTCAGATAAAGGTTCAGATAACTGGCAACCAGGATTTTAAGACACAATATGGCGAAGTGTCGTTACTCTGAAGCTTAGCTTATTTAGCGGCACTAGATCAAGCCGAGTGTCGTGCCCTCAATCAAATCCAATCCAAGGCTTGGACTGGATTTGTCGGCTGTCCCCTTGCATCGGGTAGCACACTCTACATCGGGTGATCAGAGCCCGCGCTCCACTCTAAGCAGAATTTATTGCCCTTTTTTCTGCCCCAAAGTCTTCAAGTCTTTGCTCAAGGCACTCAATGGCATTTCCGGCTCATATTTCCTGACTGGTCTCGCTTTTTGACAATTTCCTTGAACATTTCCACAATTTTTTCTGGTAATTAAAATTTCCCTGACAATCCTGGTTCTCCCGGTCGCTAGTCACCCTGATATATAACCTGAAGCCATAAACATGTTATTTTGGGGTCACTGGTTTTAAATTTTCTACTAAAATCATAAGAAAAGGTAGCAGACGCAGTGCAATGGGACACATTAAGAAACAAAAAAGGAATGTTTTTCTGAAGTGTTAAGTGTGAGCCAGCGACAGCATGGAAGGAGGCAATGGAACGAGAGCAATCCACCTTTGGCATTGAGAGTGGTAGGCTTCTCCTGGAAGCAGCCGAGGCAAAAGTGCCTTGGGCAGACGAAGGGGTCCTGCTTGAGCGGCAGGGGCAGCTTTGCCAGGCACTTCTTGTGGTAGAAGCAGCCGCAGCTCTCCAACGAACACTTCTCCGTCTCTCCCAGGTCTTTGCACACGAGGCATAGGTGCTCACCTGCACCATGGACAGGACATTACATGCTTCAACCATACATTCGTGGCATCATTGAACGGTAGCTCCGGCCAAAAAGGTAGGCATTCCCTCCAATTCCCCAAAACTCCACCCCATCAAGTTTCAGCCCTATATCTAAGAAAAATGCCACTTCACTAGCACCACAAATGGAAACAGCCTCTGTAAAGTCTCCCGACCTCACTGAATGACACATATATCCTTGCAGAGTGGGGGGCACCAAAGCTGAAGTACACAAAAATTGGGTTGCTGCTTTTTGTCCTGCACTGTTTACTGAAGCCTCAAATACCCAAAAAAAGGGTGTGGCTCAATGAAGAACAAAAGCTGTTCCTACTCCTTCCTGCTCTATCCCACCAGAAGCTTCATAGCATTTAGATTTTTTTTTTTTTTAATATATATATGGAGGGATTAGGTTCAGGCTCCTAGAGGATACACTTCGGACCAGAAAAGCATCATGTCGTATGTGAAAATTGCCTTGCTAGGATGACGCCAGGGGGTCGCAATCTGGCGTCATCCTAGCCTTGTTTACATAATTCAACAGTATTGTGGCATATTTTTTGGACCTCAAAAGCTCTGGGGACACTTTAAATGATGTCATAGACGTTGCCTAACAGATGGTTGTCAGTAAGCATCACTATAATTTAAAAAGCCGTCCTGAGCCGGCGTGCACTTTTGTTCCCAACAAGGCGGACAAAAATGGTAAATATGAAGGCAATGCAATCAAGGCTATGACAAAACGAAGGCAGAACAGAAAGAAAGCATTCTGCTGGGGATGTGAGGTGTACTCTCTGTGTTTAATCAATAGAAGCATTCCTTCGTTGAAAAGCGCACGTGTTACTACAGAGGCCAACTCTCAGATGAAACTAAAAATAGACGTCAGTTAGAGTAGACCAATTTTTATAAGTAATAGCCGCGAGTGTGGGGCACATTTTGTATATTCTGTATTATTTTTTATTTGTCGTTTCATTCGGATAGTTGTAGAAGTGTAAACGTTTATACGCCTTCTGCACATACATTGCATTTTAAGACAATAAAATTTTAAAACTTTTTCCCACATTATACTAACCTGGTACTTTCGAAAAAACAACTAATTCGCCACAATTTGATGTGTCACACTGCTGCATACCCAAATTAGTTAGGAAAATAAAAGTGTTTGCACAGATCCTTTGAAAATCGCTACTCTTCCCGTCGACAGGAAAGAGTTAAATCTGGTCTGATCAAAATGCTTTACGAAACTGCCTTTCATGTGAACATGAAAAGCTACAAGGCTCAGACAACTGCAATGGTATAATCATCCACTATTTCCACTTCAATGAACTGAGTCTGCTCCACTCTGCCTTTTGCACAAGGCTTCTCTTACCCTTTTATGATGCAGGATGTAATCTGGAAAAGGGAACAAGTATTGTCAAACACACTATCTCATCTAAATGGATAAAGGATGGGTAGACACCGTCAAGAAAGAATTCGGACAGCCCTGTGGCTCAACTACACGCTCTATATCAAATCACTAAAACGACAAGGTCGAGTTTACGGAAACACTCCACAAGGTATACATGTTACATGAGTGACAGGGAACCCAATATTCACAATGTTCACCTGACCTGTGCATGCCTAGTTTTTGTTTTGTTTTTGAGCATAGCAAGCTACATTTTCCTTCGGTTTTATCTGCTTTGTTTCATATGTTGTGTTCACCTTGCTTAAGTGTTCCTTGTTCATTAAATTCAGAGTGGGGGGTCAGATCCCTGTAAAGTTGCAACTCCAGAGCTTTTTTTCTAGGCTCCTATTCACTGCAGTTGTATACTAGTGGTGAAAAATGTATGGTACTGCTATTTTTGGTGTGGCTGCTGCAAAATTAAAATACAGCAATGTAAAAGAAACGTGAGTCCACATACTAGTTGAAATAGAACTGCTGAATAAAGACAGACAAATATGGTTAAAAATGTGTGTGGACTGTTGTTATGTAATCTAATTCTTGCAAAAGCAGAGGTCGGCTCATTTTGGATAGAAATTTTGATTTTTAGCCAGTCAGCAGAGCTGTTCTGGCAATCTTATTTAACATAACCACAATTGCAAGGACTAAAAAGTAGTGTAAAACCACAATCTTAAGGTAGAGGCTGGAGACCTGTCAACAAAAATTCCTTGAAAAAAAAAAAAAAACTATGGTAAAGCAACGTTTTTTCAAACTTCGCTATTTGCCTTATGAAAACAAAGACAGTGCCAAGGGCCATACAGAAAATAGGTCAGATATGTGTGTGTGCGCAAACTACAGGAGCTGCTTTTCTATCATCATCATTTCTGACATAGCAGGTAAAAGAGAGCGTGCAGGTGGCGCAGACTGCTTGGCTCGTCAGCTCACTAAAGCACCCGATAATAGTGCTTTCCCAAATACAACACCCAACAACAGGGTGTAATTTTTATGATTATCTGAACGACAGGAAACTGGGGAAGGAATGGCTGAAGTTGAAAAGAGGCCACCCGGGCTCAAGAACCTCTCATGTGACTAAACAGCTCAATGAAAGCTACTTTGTGTACCCTGTTGGTCCTATTGTGCCCTGTGAGTGCCAGTCTCAATTGTTACTTTCAAATTGATTCTTTTTTTTTTTTTTTTGCATTCTGCAAACCAGTAAACAAACGGTTCTCCAGTACAACTGTTAACAGTTGGATTAACTGTTACAAGGGCCCAGTTAAAGAAAATGAAGGGAGGCCCCTTCATTTTGTAACTCCTTATATTTTTGCATTGATTTTAGCTAAAACAAATTTCAATCGTTCTTGGTATTAAATTTCTACATATATTTTAGTACCCAAAAAGGTGATGTTAAATTTCTGTAAAGCCTACACTCTAAAAAAAGGATTGAATCCTTTCTCTGCAGAACACAGAGACAGTCAATCACGTTGAACAACAGAATGTTCCCAGGTAATGACCAAGCTCAGAATACAAGTAGATTTGAAAAATGTGATGTGCGCAGGGACAGTGGGCGAGGGAAAGGTCCTGCTCACTGCGCCTGCGCACATCGGACTGTGTTGGTCTAATTGCCATTTGCTGGGGTCCTTCTTATTTTCGCCGAATTGGGCTGTTTCATGTTCTGCAGGGAAGTGAACAAATTCAAACCACAAACTTTTTCTCAGCCAAATCAACATCACAAATATACCAGAAGCTTTTATTACTTCTCATCACCTTTAAGATGAGAAGCAAAAACTCTCCAAAGCAATATCAGGAGAAATTAGGCTCCGGCATATGTCGCACATATATCTAACTTCATTAGCATTTTCCTTTAAAGAAACGCAATGTATTTATTTACATTTTCTGCAAAAGTTAGTGTTTCTCTATTTTCAATAGAACACCGGTAATTCTTTCAACCTCGATCTGTGAAAAAAGGCAATTCTTCACAACCTACCTATATACTGCATTTCAGTTATATGCCAGTAAAATTAATGCTAGTACATTGAAAGTTAAAGTTTTTGTTTGATGTCCTATGTGTCAAGTGAGAACTATTACTAATATATTAGAAACAAATAGGCAAAGAAATTAGACTAAATATTACAAATAACCTACTAAAATATCCTGCAAGAAACTCGGCAAAGAGCCATTAGTGCAAATTAGCATATTCACTTTGAGCAAAACCTCTGAAAGCAAATTAGGCAACTAGAATTCAATTGTCTGTGTTTAATCCAACTGCCCGGAAGTTAAACAGCAATTGAGAAGTGTCGTAAATCATGGCTTAAATTAGCATAATACTGTTCAATTATTTTATTGCTACATCACTCCTAAATAAATCATAAAAATTAGGAGTTTATCAATTAGTTCAGGGGTCGGCAACCCTTTTCTACAGCGGGCCGAATCGCCGCAATGTGGAGGCGGAGTGGGCCGGATAGAAAAGCGAAGAAGGGCGGTCTACTAGCCCATGGAACTAAAAAATAAAACAACTGTCACAAGCTTTATGTTCAAAAAATATGTTTACTTAATTTTGGCACACATAATCTGGTTGCTCAAGCCTCATTAAAATTTTTGGTATTTAATATTACGGCCAAGATGTGAATATTCAGGTCAAGGGCACTTTGTTAGATATACTCATCTGTCATTTGCAAATGCATGTTTGACTTTACGGTCTTTCACTTCAAAAAGTATGCATGCAGATATACATGCTGCAGCAAACACTGCGATAAGATGCTGCAACCTTTCATAGATTTAAAACCTTTGATTCAGGGAAGTTGCCACAAAACTTAACAAAGTCGTTAACTGCAAATGCACACTTCAACTTGTTATCTGTTTAGCGATCAGTAAGATCCTTCTGATAAATATCTTGAACATGGCCGTAGTCTACCTTAAATAAATTCTTCGAAATGTGGATGCCATAAGAAAATGTGGATATAATTCAATTCACCAGACCTCGAACTCCCAGTTCAGATTGCATACTATATTGCAGAGACTCCCTTTGTGGAACAGTATCCTCATTTCTTCTATATATGTTCCCTAAAAAGGAAAATTAAAGAGATTTCTTATTAATGAAAATTCCTAGTGCTGAATGAGCTAGAGCTTCAGCTCGAAAACTTGCGCGTCTGAAAGCATTTCCGCCACAAGTTTTTCTTTTCTTTGTAGTCTTACGCTCAGTTTATTAAAGTGATGTGAAATATCATCAAGTAAGGCCAGGTTGCACACCCAATCAGAATTGAGAAGATCCTGTAAGGACTTCCTTCCACACCCAAAAAATGCACTCTCTTCACCCAGCTAAAAAAGCCGCAAAATGACTACGTTCCTTATTTATCGAACCGCCGCATGCTATTGGAAATCCCCATAGTGAGCCTCTATGTGCAACAAAAACCGTTCAAATTCACTTTGGTGCAAGCCGTGATTCAAAACAAACTTTATGCTAGCTACGATGACCTTAATTATTAATTCCAAATGCATCAAATGGGTGCACAACCATTGCTAACGAATAATACAATGAACGTGAAATAAACTATCCCCCAGGTGTGCCGTTTCAAAGTTAAAGGGGTCATGAAATGATTTTTCAACTTCTTCCTTCTTAGCTTTCCTCCTCAACTCGCAAATCGTGCTGCGCTACCAAAGGTACAGGGGCAAGAGTATACCGCTAACAGTTCAAGAAAAGGGAAAGGAGAAACTCCCTGCTTGCTTGGACCTTCCTTTGTGTACCCGCAAGTTGTCAGTGTCCCCCTAAAAGTTTAGTCTATCACTCAAAATTTGGATAAAAGTTGCTTTCCACCCTCCCGCCCATGGCTTTTTCAGTACTGCGTGCAACTATCCTTTCTTAACTCTTCAAGCTGACAGTGCTGTGGAAGCTACATGCTCGTTGGGCCAGCCACACTTCTATCTTTTGCCACTTGATCACGCTCCTTCGCGCATACCCATGCGTAGAGAATGGGGTCGAGTGTTGAACGGGAGGCAGCTGATTGGTCTGGCAAGCGCGTAGCTCCCACCACACAGTTGGCTTAGGGGTGAACGAATTATAGCGAGATAGCATAGTGACGCAGTGCCGGGGCCCGGTGATACGCTCTGGGTACCGTGGATGTATCACAGCGAAAAGGCGGAGAACTTTTGAGGGAGGTGCAAAACAGTTCACAATGTTTTAAAATTTTCATACCAAAAATCAGGCCTTTGACTTTCTACCTCCCTTCTTTTGGCCCACTGAATGATATGCAATTAATAAAATCCCAATCTAAATTAATTTATCCCAGCTAAAAATTAATTTCATGGCTCCATTGATGCAACTAACTTACCCCAATTTGCAAAAAAAAAAAAAAGCTTTATTAATTATGTTTTAAGTTCTGGAAAGGAATCATATTTGTGTCTCTGGTTGGGGGGGGGGGGGGGGGGGCTTTTATTTGGTAGCGCCGCGTAATATTGTCCCGTGGCCCGCTCCCAGCTAGAGCAAGCCACCGGTTGCCAACCCTTAATTAAATTTCTAAATAATTTTTAAATAATGATATATGATCCTTGATGTTTATAATAGAACACAGTGCATATCAGAGTTTGTTTCAAAGCACTGTTTTGGGCAAGATTGCAAAAGAACTGAGCCATCAACTCAAGTGTGGCCGAAACGATTAGACACGTGTCAAATATGACTCGAAGCGTGCATGAGTATCACACAACTTAGCCACTTTTCTAACTAGGCTGCATTAAACAAATATCAACCCTGGTTTTGAGCTAGCTCTCACTTGTAATCCGTGACATAAGGACATATGACAACTATGTAAAACCCCCCTATAAAAATGGTGGCCTGCCTGAACTTCCAAGATTTTCTGCAACAGACTATAATGCAAGAAGAAAAAGTGTCAATGTGCCATGTGTTTGGGGGCACACAGGAGGTACAGCCCTGCCAAGAGATTCAATTTATGATTTATAGATCCTTTTCAATGCAGAATGCTTATTGCAATAAGTCTGTAAATTTACCATGACATCGGCCATGTACAAATCCGCTCACTTAAAATACTTAAGCCTCCGCGTCTCCTTGATTCTGCAGAGGCGGCAGATGAAAAAGCCCCAAAGCTTGCTGAAAGGTTGCATGCCCTTTTAACCTGGAACTAATCGGGAAAACGAACCCTTCATTAAGATCTGATACCTAACTCATTCTGAAAACTACAAAGCAAAAACAATCCACCTGCTTCAGTCATTACATAACATGTGTGTCAAATGAATCCGGCAAATGACACCGGCTCTCAGCGCCGTATGCTCGTTCGTTGGCGGCAGTTGGCGTCATGACCCCTTGCGCCATCTCTTGTCTTTCGTGCGAAACGGTGCCGTATTGTTCGAAGACCAGTGGCTTCACAGCATTTCCATAGGAGCTAAGCCTTTTTCTTTCTTTACTTTTTCCTCAGGTAAGTTTGTTCTTTGCAAATTTTACCAAAAAAAAAAGATGCACCATCCGAGGGCAACGCTCCACAAAATCATAGTGCGATAGATTAAGAAACTGAATTTTGCGGCCGATTTAAAGAGCCTGGTTGCTATTCGGGACACCCGGTACACTTGTTTTCTTCTAAAAAAAAAAAAGAAGGAAGATTTGCACATTGCTTTTGGCGTCTGAAATGTATGTTTCTTGATAAGGTAACATATCTAGTCTAAAATGCACCTATGTATATTTTAGTTCTCCACATAAAGGCTGAAATCAGTAATGCTCCGCGAGTAAACAGACTTTTTTTACTTTGGTTCTTGGGGAGAAAACATGTACAGTTCAAAACTTTCTGACCAAATTGAACAGACCTTTTGCAAATGCTTAGCGCATTGTCTGCTCGAAGTAGATTCACAATGTCGCATGGGAGTGACACCACCGAAACACCTTGCTGCCAACACTCAGTCTCACCTAAGGTGCCGATTCACAAGCAACGCTTTCTGCCTGGCAGAAACCCTTTCCCCAGCATCCTCCTCTCCATTCCTTCTCACCCCAAATAAGTGAGTTTGGGTATTTTTCTTTGAGCACCTGGGAGCAAATTCTAGCAAATTCTAACAGAATAAATGACTGCCAAATTTCTTTTCTTTTTGTTTGTCAGGATTTCATACATACTACAGCAAAACCTGTAAGGCCGAGCTTCTTGATTTTTTTATTACACCTCAGCTGCACGAATGGCTGTGCTGCGGGAGCAGCAGCCAAGGCTACCTGCTCACGCTTGGAGCCTTCACAAGTCCACATTAAGGTGAGACGAAGTTACAAGTGGCTAACTGCCACCTCACATAGTGGCATGTGATGTGGCTATTGATCAAGCGATTGCCAACAAATTGTCCATACTTAAACCCTGGAGACAAGGGGACACCAAAATCAAGGACAAACAAAGCCCCGTCTCCAGTTGTGTTTGTCGCCCCCCCCTCCCCCTTTTTTTTTGTGTCCACTCGTCTCCGAGAATCCTGAAATTTAGCCCTATACGTCCTCGTCCTCAAAACTCCCGTTGTAGCTACTAAACGCATGTGATGTTGCCATCTTGCTAGATTAGGAGGCAGGAGTCAATACGACAACTGAAGCCTTTCCATTAAAGACCGACAACCAGTTTGCGCTTTCACTTTTCCCTTGCTTCCTCCTCTCACCCCTTCTACCCTGTCCACCGTTGCCTGTTGCCTCCTACCCCATGATGAGGAGGATTTTCTGTTTTGCAGAATCTTGAGTCTGGTCGTGAGCCTTTAAAGGAGGAGGAAAAACAACACCCCTCGTCTTCCACTGTCTCAAGCCAGTTCCGACTGTCATGCTAGAGCTTTATAAACCAAGCGAGCTTCTCTTCAACCTCGGAAAACCTCATAAAGGTCCCAAGCAGCCAAAGCACTTGATTATGCCACCATAGCTTGATGCTAAGTACGGTAAGGAAAGGGCAGACATAGGAAGAGTTTCGGAGCCGAGGGTTGGAATGTCACCTCTGGTTTGGGGAGTTGAGTGAAAGATTGTGAGAGGTAGGGGTGCGCCCTCCCGTCTTTTTACAAGCCAGCTTCGAAACGAGGCTTGTGACTGAACAACTCATGCCAGCCCCGAGGGATCCGGACGGAGTGACGCAACTCACCCGTGGTGCACTCGTCGCAGACGAAGGCGCGAGGCACGTGCGAGACGCCCAGGCAATCGGCGTGGAAGGCGAGCTTGCAAGGCCCCGTGCAAAAGAGCGTCGCTCCCATCTTCTCGCAGACCGTGCATACCTCTTCCTTGGTGGGGGGCTTCTCAACGGCACTGTTCTCCTGCAATGGTCCCACCTCGGAAGTCTTGCTCTTGGCGCCCTTGCTCCGCGAGTCGTAGTACTCGAACGTGAGCTTGTGTTTGCGCTCAGAGCGTGTCAACTCCAGGGCGTCCGTAGCCTCTTGGACGGCAACGCGCCAAGCGTCCCGCTTCCGATCGGGAACGTTGTACGGAGCGCGCTCGAGGTTGCCCATGGCCACGAACTTGGCCAGGCCCTCGTAGGGCATGATCCGACCGGGTTGGGTCCACCCGTGCTGCGCGTCGTCTCCGAAGTACTGGACGTGATACAGGCGGTGCTGCTGGCGCACTGTCTTCGTGTAGATACCGGACAAGGGGTCGAAGGAGACCATACACGGCCAAAACGGGTGACCGCCTACCTTGGACCAGAGCAAGTCGCCCACCAGATAACAGGGCGCAGCTGCGAGTGGCTTGGTCTTTGTTTTCCGGACCTTGTTCAAGGAGTGGGGCGGACGAACCCGAACCAGAGGTGTAAACTCCATGTCACTCACTTGATTAGGCTTGCGCAGCCGACCAAAGCGACTTCGTCCCATCCCGTCGGACGAAGCTGTCCCATTTACGTGCACCTCGTCATCTGGATTGCTAAGTTTGGTTGGGCAATCGCCGTCGCCATCCGGCATGTCCCCGAAGTCTAAAAGACCATTCATTGACATTTTGCGCCACGATTACCGGTCGTAACCACTCTAAAAGAGGACAGCACCGTTAACGACGTATTCAACCGACCTGACACATTCGGTTGGCGCGCTGAGGCCACCCAACGCTTTTAAAGACTTTGAGACGGCTGATTGGAGGCTACTCGTACAACGATTTCAGCCTGTAACACGAATGGTACGAACACGAAGACACCGGCACCCAGCAGCAGCAGCACCTTCCCAACGAAATCGCGCGAAAAACGACGCTTTTCATTGGTGGAAAAGGGCTAGGCATTTGGCTAGGATCCTGTCCGGTGTTGTCTTATGGCTATAGTTAAATATATGCACGAAAAGGTGAAATTTATTAAAACAAAAACAAGACGTAAAGCGTGAATGAAAAAAAAAGGGACATCTAGGAATAAAAATTATATACTACTGCAATGAAGTGTTTCCCCTAACGGCTGAACTCGATAGAGCCAATGACGTCACGGTTTAAAATTATATTTGCTGTTATTTTGACGTAAACACGTTTCGTTTTGATGCCGCCGCGCCGAGGGCCGAGGCGGCCGAGGCGCCGACTGCATTTTTTGAGACGTTGGTTGCTGGTCGGTCGTAGCCTGTGTGTGATGGTGAGGTTTGGGGTGCCCGGCGGTGTCCGCGCTGGTGTGTGTTGTCGCCATGCCGCCTGTGCTCGTCGCGTTCTGTTGCGTATGAATTGCCTACCACCACGAACATCTTTGCGTTTTTAGCACACGCGGTTCACTTTCCTTTTACCGTGTCGTGCGTTGCCTTGCGTCTGTCTGGTAGTGCTCTCGTCGACCAGAGGCCACTGGCTGTTTGGTTTCAGCGCTTCTAGCTGGTTTCTTCAGCCATTCGTTGCGTTCGACCGGCGTCGCGTTCGCTTTGCGTCTCCTAGAGCCGACTGGTGTGTTAAGCGTCATATGCTGTCCATACAACGGGGGATCGGTGGCCGAGTGGGCTAGCGCACACCAGCTCGGAGCACGTGGAGTGAAAGCTCGCGCTGCAACCCAGAGATCCTGGGTCCCCACCAGGATCCCTGGGTTGCGAAATTTTTATCGGTTCGGTTCGGGTTCAGGGCTTTCGGTTCGGCTCCGGTTCAGTTCCGGGGTGCAAAGGGAGTAGGGAGTTTTAGAATAGCGCACGCTAAAGCTTTGCGTACGCAAAGAATAGCGTCGTCGCCACTGCGCATGCTCCGAACGCAAACCAGGTTTTGCGCTTTGCGTGCGCAATTTTAGCGCGCGCTATTTCTGGGAAATAGCGTGCGTACGCAAAGAGTCTGCGCTTCTCCAGGGAGGATTCGTGGTGGGAAGTTGGCTAAAGCCAAGACGAGCACAGTTGAAAAAAATGGCGGCTTCCAGGATTATGTCGGCGGCTGCTGAGGCAGCGTCGTGGTCTGAGTGCGACGTCGGCGGCATCCTCGCAACTGCGATTTTCAATACGAAACGTAATTGTACTCGGTTTGGCAACGATCACCGGCAACTTGATGCTTGCGACGCGCGAACATTTCTCGGCGAAGGTACGATGTGCGAAGGCCAGTACACGAGACCTCTCTTGCCGAGGCGACGCAAGCGGGCACGACCGGTCAACCGCTCGCGTCGCATTCTCGTGTTTAAACAAATCTAAAAATCGTACTCTGGACCAAAAAAAAAAAACTTGTTTCTCTCTAAGGTTACAGCATTTCGTGTGCGAAATAAAAATTGTGACTCTATCTTGGTGGCGTCGCAAGCGCGAGATGCTTGGGCCACAGTGGCTTGGGCTTTTGCGTCGCGACGGAGAAACGCTATTCTAAAACACTGGCGTCACGGGCGCTAATGCAAGCGCTAAATTTAGCGCTAGCGTGCGCTAAAATTGCGTACGTTATTCTAAAACTCCCTAATAACGGTTACTGAAAAATTGAGCCTGTATTTTCCGCGTTTTTTTGGCGACGGGCACTATTTCAACAGTGAAATTTTATCATTCGTAGGACGATGAAATTGCCTTATTGCAGTCGTATCTGCCCAGAATCGATGTTTTCAAGTATTCTTCCCGAACATATTGTAAATCACAACGATGTTTCAGTGTTCGAAGACGCCGTTAGACTTGTTTACTCTGTTTAAAGAGTGAGCATATCGCCTTGGTGTTATTTTGTCTTTTTCTCTTTTTGGGGTTAAATATGTATATATTACGTGATACTTTAAATATTGTACTTTTTTTTTTGTATATAGTGTTTTTGTACACGGCACGTGCCCTCAGTTATTAGTCATTGGTGATAATTTTTGTCAGTATATTGTCATTGTTAAATTTATTATCACTTTTTACGTGCATTTAGTGCTCTTGTTTTCTATTTTGCGCTCTCGGCGCGTTTTGTATTTAATCTTGTAACCACTTTATTGTTCATAGCTCTGTTGGAGGTATGAATCATATTTTTTTTTTGTGTGTGTGTTTGTTCCTCCCTGCCACGGCCCCACGGGCCAGCAGTATGTACAAAATTTAATTTCAATGAAACAGTAAAAGACTCCTAGATCAACATATATGACTCAACATTTTTTTTTTTCTTTTAACCACAGTCTCATATATTTTACCTGAATCTATAGGTTATCCGTCTGGTAGGTCGCCTAAAATACGCAACTTTTCGTCGCAGTATTAAACGTCAAATCTTTCTATGCTCGCGCTTCTAGCCTTTGCTGCAGTACAACATAAGGTGAAACGGAGTATGGCGGCGCTGCAGTCGGATCTTGCTTCCCTGTCTCGCGCGTCGTCTGCTACCACTGCGTTGAGTTTTCTTTTTTTTTTTTTTTTTACTTCCATGCGTATAACAGCAAAAAGAAAAGCTGATGAAGATGAAGTGTAATACACTACAGAGATCAGAGTCAGCGCATTGTGAGTTTTCTTTCTTTGAGTGTTTGAAATTTATTTTTGTGTGCATCTATTTCCTTGTGCTGTGAAGTGTTAGTATGAATCAACATGCCCAACTCTATTCAAGCTTGGCGGGCTAGACAGTCCGGAAACAAGGCTCGACTGCAGCGCTGCTATACTCTGTTTCACCTTATGCTTTACCGCAGCAAAGGCTAGAAGCGCGAGCTCATAGCGTTGGCAGCTGCCCCTAATGCACGAGAGCTTGTGCCACCGAGATGTGTCTCAGAGCAGGGAGCTCGCGCTTGTAACCTTCGCTGCGGTACAACATAACGTGAAACAGAGTATAGTTCTCGTGACCGCCACTGAGCCCACATCGCAGGCGGAGCTGTGAATCTGAGCTTGCTCCAGTAACGTTGGCGGGAAGCATGATCCAGCAAATGTCATCGAGATCAGTCGGTTCGACTTTGAATACCCAGCAGGGTATTCATTCTGAAGAGCGACTGGATACCATCGTGGCGGAGAATGAAGAAGAAGTGTATTCCGAAGCCAACATAATTTCCCTGAAAGCGATTACTTCTGATACGGAAGAATACGTTGACTGCGCTGAGGAGTTCTCAAGGGCAGGGACCACGTATGTTGTCCAGGAGTACCAAGATCAACATTACCTACCCACACGATTGTCGTCTGATGCACTGACCCAGGCTACGCCAGAACGCCAGATCACAGGAAAAGGTTGGCCAGCCACAACCTGCCCAGTCGCTGGTCAGAGGGCCAAGGCACCTGGGAACATCAACCACACACAGTGCGACTTTCATTGAGCTAGTTGGAGATGAGAGCAACCAGGAAGTAATTGATTGCTGCTTGACATTACCAGACACCCCGCAAAATGAGGTAGAGCATGTGAGCATAGATGAGATAAGGACTGCCGACTATAACTGCACTTTGCGAACCTCACTAGACTTTACGCAACAGAGATCTCAACAGGAGAGAATTGAAAACCTTGAAATCAAAGTGAGACAGCTTACTGAGCGACTATACCAAGTGGACACAGACAGGAAAAATATGGGTCAAATGGCACTGCTGTTCGAAAGATCCGAGAAGAAATGGCGAGAGACGGTGGAAGGTCGAGAGGCACTGGTGGGTTTGATTGCCCGCTGTGAAGGGCTAGAAACAAGGCTCAACAGAATCTTGGCTGTTCAGCTAAACGACCTGCGTGTGGCGTCACCAGAGAACTCCCAAGACAACCAGGAGGGGTGTACCATCAAGACACGCAAAGAGAGTACACTTGAAGACGCAGGGAATGGGCGAGACACAACGTCTACTTTCGTCTACATTCCAACCTGGTCCAAGAATCGCTCCCAAACTACGTCCAAGTTACCAGAAACCTCAGAGATAGAGGGGAGTCATCAACTGGAGATACGCAAGGACAATGAACCCCACAAACGTGCGTCAAAACATAAAAAATAGCACACAGGAGATGGAAGAGGTGTCGCAGAGCAGGTATGCCCAGCAAACGACGCAGTGTCCGAAACATCTAACCTGTGGTAGCTTAAACATCACACAAGCCCCCAATTGAGGCATAACCGCGACCAACCGGGCAGTAGATGCTACCATTCAAGACCAACACACAAGCGTGAAGATCTCGGGAGAACGCAACAGTAAAGGCAAATCTGGAGCCGAAGTTCGGCCCCCACACGGAGTCACACGAGAGGTTATCTTCGCTGGAGATAGCAATGTCGCACGCATTGCGCCAACGTTACACGATGAGGTCCGTGATCCCAAGAGGCTTGAGATTTTACTCAATAGAAAAGCTACGGTCGATGTTATCCATCAACTCATCGACACATATGAGGAACACGGGCACGAACGGTTCCCCGCATGCACATATTACATATAGGCGTCAATGACATCCTCCAAGGCGAAAATCCCGGTTCAATCGTAAATCGTCTACAGACGAGGTGGTCAAAACGAAAGTCGGCATTAGCCATCTGCTCCGTCCCAGAGATTGACAGCAGAGGAAAGGGGCTACAGGTTGCCACCATGCTGCTTAATGCCAAACTGAAGCGACTGTGCAATGTGATCAGAGCGAAGTTCATTAACCGCTCTCATGGCATGACAGAAAGAGCGATGAAAAAAGATGGACTACACTACCAGAAAGAAAGAGTGAAAGTCGTGTCTGAGATTGTGGGGGCGGTAGCGAGTTGTTTTTTAGGCAACCGAAACAAAAGATATCAAAAGAGGGGACGCACAGGTGGTAAGGGGCGAGGAAAACCAAGCGGACCACAAAAAGACACCTACACTTTGTGTTGTTCATGCACACAGTGTCCCCTACCACCCCCCCACACAAGATCTATAATATGCTGCAGAAGAAATAGACCCGCATCGACAGACTCACTACCTGAGCGACCCAGTGTTTCCCAAAAACTATCGGAGAGTCCAAGCCCCAAATGCCGACCTCACTCACGAGCTATATGGGTCCCCCATCGCCATGGAACCAATCGGCAACACGCAGACACACACGGTGGGGCGTCAAGAATATGGCCCGGGTATGGCAGTGTGGCGACATAGGCTGAGGCAAGCCCAACAGCAAGCCAGGCCTGCTCAGGAGGCCACGCGCCTGCCCAAAAGGGCGAAAGAAGAAAAGGAAATAAACACTAGACCGAGGAGGTGCTTCGAAAACAGTCGTCCTTTGGATTCGTCCCGTTGAATATTTCAACTCCGACAAATTGGTGACCCGGACGAACGACTCCCCTTCACGATTCTTCACACTCTTCAATGATGGATTTGGCTAACGGTGAATCGCCTGCGGTGGAAGCAATTCCATCGGGATCTTTAGCGGCATTCCAAATCAAGCTGCCGGCATTTTGGGCAAAGAACGCTACGGTTTGGTTTGCACAGGTTGAGGCGCAATTCCAACTCCATCACATCACCCCACAGGATGAGAACGTATCATCTCCGTCAACTTACGTGAATCGATTGCGCGAGTTCTTTCGACATATCCAGCCACCTTCCCCTCGACACTCGTCTCACCGAAAACTCTTCAGGTCTCAAGATCTAGAGTCGTGCACACATGTTTTTGTACGCAGTGAACTCATCAAA